ATTTTTGCACCATTGTTAATATTCACACACTGGAACCAGACCAGTTCAAAAATGAGGAACAAGAATTTTGATGCCTCCAGGACGAATAGTTTGTTTACTATAAACACCAATAAATAAAGCATCTCATTTGACTTACCTATCAACATTTTTCTGATGTTTTCCAGACAAAGTGTATTACATAAACTATTTTCTTTCAATGTGACGAAATTCATGAATGAAAACTTGCTGCACTTGAAGATATTTCAACTTGATACGGCACTATAAAAATGGAAAGAATGCATTAAATGTGTCCCCATCCATTTTAAATTGCATCTGTGATTCAATGTTCCTTTTTACAAACTCCTGAAATTACCTATAGTGGTATTACAGTGAATTCCTGTTAGAATGCAGTACTTGGTCCATAAAATTCCAACAGGTACTGTAACAGTCCATAGTCGCTTCCACATTCACCTCTCAGAAAGTTGGCCGGCGAGCGAGAAGCCAAAATGGGAGATTTCCAGAGCATTACGTTGATGTCACATAATTGCAGCCTGCAGCAAATGAAGTCAGTGACGTGATGGCCTGGAAGTTGGCAATTTCCTGTGCACTGACTGGCTTTTGAAGGGTGGATGGCCAGGTAACAGCTAATTACACTCCTGCAATCGCCCTTACACCTGTAATTGCATGATGTTCAGTTCCAGACATTGACAAATGTTACTGCATGGCATTTCTCTTCGTCTCAACTCCCAGCAACACCTGAAACTTCGCCAAAAGCAATGAGTGAAAACCTGAGTATCTCTTAAATATCTGAGTATCTGGCTAAATAAATATCCAAATCAAATCGCAAATCCGCATTATAATAAGCTTCTCATGACTGGGTTTTACTGGATAACTGATTGTAGAACTAGTGGAAATAAAATGGAAATCGTTGACAATATTTTTATACTTGCCACTCGAAGCATCATAGTAACATTTTAATAAAAATTGTGCATTTGGGAGTTTTTTTGGCTATTTCAGAGGTAGGGTGGGGAGAGGCTTGGGTCTAGGCTCATTGCTTTGGTGAAGTTCCGGATGTTGCTGGGAGGTTTGGTTTGGAAAAGCTCCTCGCAGTGACAATTTTGTGAACAAGTTTGCATAGGTGCTGTTTCTCACTGCAGTTCTTATCGAATAACTCTGGAGTGATCTTTCGATTATGAAAACCCTAGATTCTTCTATTGAATAAAATGTTTGTAAATGCATTAATGTAAATATACTTTTTGATAAGAAGTATTGCTTCTTGGAGAATTTTTTTTGTAGTTCTGCATTTTGAGTGGCTTAGATCCATTTTCACGTGGAGTTGTAATGTATAACTGATCAATGACTTCCTGAAGATGGGACACATAATTCACAGCCAAATAACATTCTTAAAATTTTAGTCTATTGCTTCAGGGTGTTCATATTTATACCCAGTCATTAATACTTTAACTCTCAACTATTTAAATCAGCTGAAAAAATGCTACTGATGCATCACTTACTGCTGAATCTTTTTTTAATCAAATGCCCCTTTTTTTTTAAAAAAGCCTCTGCCTTCAAAACCGTGTTTATTATTGTTGGAATTTACTATGTTGAGTTTAATTGCATCTGTAGGAATTTGCTGGTAGCACTGTATTATGTAAATACGAGTGCATCATTTATTAATAAAATGCATGTTTTTAATATTACGGAGGAGTTGAAATCAATAGACACTTTAACGAGTATCTCTGTTGCTGCTTAATTGCATTTTTAAATTTCTTGCTGAACATTTGCACTTTAAGATTTATGGAACATTTCAAACACAATTACAGGGGGAAAATTGTACAAGGTAGTAAATGAATGATCAATTCAACATTTTACAAAAAATGCTGCTTTTCTAAAGTACTTTTCATTTCTATGTTGAATTTATTTGGGAGTTCTGTTGACTGCTATTTGTGCTTTGAATTTGTTAGGTTGGTGCATTCAAATTTAAACACACACCAATGTAATTCCCCTAAAGTGATTAAGCGTTGGTAGAACAGTCACATTATATGTATTGTGTCGTTGCAAAAGTTCAAGTAGCCACCAGTTGGGATTGAATGTGAATTTGAATGTGAAACAATTTTGGATTAAGTGCTTGTAATGTGCCTGTAGCACAGTTGAAGAGGAAGGTTTTCAGGCGGGGCTGGAAAAAGGGGAGAGAGGGCTCAAACTACAGGAGCAGGATTAATTAAAAGCTGTCCATTTTTGCATGTCTTAAGCAAATACTACATTCTGTACCTACATCTTAAGTGAAATATTCAAACCAAGTATACAAGCAAGTTGCTAAAAGTTCTATGATACAAAAATGTAACTAATTGCTTGAGCACTTACGTTTATTCAGTGAACACAAAGTGGGTGTGGAGAAAGTAGTTGGAATCGGATGGTATATTGCCATTTGGCATCTCAAATCGACAGTGCACTGAAAGCACTAAAATGTCAGCTTTGTTGAAGTCGAGGAGGATAGGACAGGAAATTGGAACCAGCTAAGCAATGCGTTTTTTATGCTTGATGATTGTTAGGTCTAGAAGTTTGAAAGCTGCAACAATTCCCTGGAGAATCCCCTTAAGCATACATAGCTATCTTTTACAGTGGAACTATGATGAGATGATGTTCAGCTGTCAAATTGGTTGACTTTTCAGTGGGTGGAAATTCAGACCACCATGTTTATTGGATTTGTCTTAGTATTGTCCCTTGCAAGTATTAGCTGTTAGCCCCAGGGGTTTTGGGAATTGTAAAACGAAAAGAATCTGTGGATTGCAACCAGTAGCTTTTGCCGAAATACTGCTTTGAATATTTATTTGCCTCTTGCATGCCTTTCAAATGAGGTTTGCTTTAAAGATGTGTTTGGCCAACTAGTGAATATTAGCACTAATAAAACTAACTTGTTCCAGTTATGTCTGGAATTTAAAAATCTATTTCTGAATGAAAATTGAATCTCCCATTAGTTTACAGAAATTCCCAACCAGTGGGTTACAGAAACTCTAAACTTATGTGTCCATTTTATTTAGGCTTTTGTGCAGATAAGGATATGCCTCCAGAAGATTACCTCAGCTACCTATTGAGTAATTTTTAAAGTATGCTGCGTTTTGTTTTTTGGCTGCACACTTCCATCACTTCCACGGCACCTGCACTTCCTCACACACACAGAAGTATTTCAAAACTAGTTTCCTTTTTGTTAGTGGTCTGTAGTAGTGACCTTGGTATTCAGGATATTCTACCCAGAATCGTCTTGATGGTATTATTTTGGTTACAGAGCTAAGTATTTTCACATCAGAAAAGTGACTGCTCCCACCAGAAAGAACCACACAGAAAACGTCTGAAAATGTAGACTAAATAATATCCCTTATATGTGTGTGTCCCTTCTTGCCCCACCACAACATGGAAATATTAAGCAGCATGTTAATCTGCATGAAGCCTAGGTTTATTTGTGTACATGCTTTTATGTTTGGGCCATAATTAAATATGATCGTTCAACGTTTGAGTGGCATGTACTGAAGTTGGTGCTGAGTGAGCTTGGTACAAAGCATTTACTTGGACCTCAAGAGAACTTTTAAGTTGGCTGCCTTTTACACAAATATATACAGCATGTATGGGTCCACGCTGGAATCAGATGTCCATCAAATGGCTGATAAATAAATTTGGGGCAACGGTGGCTTGAATGTGTTATCTGGAATTTGGGTTCATGAACATATGCTTGATTTGGTGTCAACTTTTGTTGATATGCAAAGAGGTAAACAGTCAATTGGGCAAGGATTCTTCCCACTCAGCTTCTGTTACCCATCAACCCCAAATCCTAACAGTTGCCTAGTTCCTAGCTGTACAAGCAGTGGAAAGCATGGCAGTCAGTGTTCAAAATGGCAAACTTCATGGATTTAGCTGGTTAAACTCTAGCCATACCCCAGGTACAAATTCTGGGTCTCAAGTCTTGACTTTGACAACTAGTCTCTAAACTTTTCCAGGTAAGGTAATAGATACCAGATGAACTGAAACCATACATATACAGTATATAATTGTTTGCTTTGGAGATTTGAGCATGGTGATGGTTTCCGCGTAAGTTGGAGATCTGGCTTACCAAAAAATTACTGTAACTTTCCTGCAAAACCAGGACAATTGAAAATATGCATTGCAGGCTGTATGTAATTTATTTTGCCAATGTTCTCCAGGATATCTCAAGTAATCAATTTGATATGATGTTCTTCGTGCATGTGCAGGACCTTTGAAAGCTATTATTCCCTTGATTACCCCTACTTAAAAAATGGTAATTGAACCAAGAAAAAAAGGCTGGCAGCCAAGTCGCTTGATATTCAGGTGCATATTCCAGACTTTGCTGCAGTTTATTTGTTGAATGGGAACAGCTGCCTCAAGGTTCTGCCTAAGTAAAGTCAATGACGTCTTCATAAAATTTTTTGTGCATGTACAGAACAAAAGAAACTTACCTCAGAATTTTTAAAAGTAAAATGAACCCTTTGATCACAGGGTTAGTGATGGGCAGATTTATTGATAAGAAAAGAGAAAGTGGAAGAAACAGAAACAAGTGACAGAAAAAAGTCAGTTGCACAAACTGATACAGAGAAATCTTAATGTGACTCAACAACATTTCATGTTGCTTTTCCCTTCACTAAGAGATTGCATTGTTGTATGTAGTCTGAAAATAAAAGACACATCCATAATTCTGTCAATTTAATGAACCGCACTAACAATGAGGAAAATTTGAGGATATCACTTTTCTAAATGACTATTATTCAATTATATAATATATTTATGTGCAACAAGATGGTCACAATATATTAGAAATGTGCACAATCGGAATAAATGGAAAGATCATGTGATACAGGTACTGAAGTGGGTGTTTGCTTGGGTGGATAAGGTGAGTAAATAAGAAATGTACATTCTACCCTCTGATCTGTATGTCTAAAGTTTCAAACCACTAGTGATGAAAATTATTTTGCATTTATTGTATCAAACTAAATTGTTTTTAAATATTTCAGGTGAATCAGGATTAGGAAAATCGACACTCATCAACTCGTTGTTTCTGACAGACTTGTACTCAACAGAATATCCTGGCCCTTCACATAGGATCAAAAAAACAGTAATGGTATGTCTGTTTAATCTATTAAAACACTTATTGTAGTATATCTTTAAAATGTTTCAGTTTCTGTAATTAGATTAAATATTGAAAAATATTGCATTTGGGTTTTTAATTTTTTTGCAATTGTTTTTTCTGTGGCAACAATTGGGTCAGTCAAGCGCTCTGAGACGCCATCCGGCGTGGAGGGCGCTATATAAATCCAGGTTGTTGTTCAGTAAATGAAAGCTGCGGATTTGTATAGAAATCCTTTTCTGTTTAGCTTGCTGGATAGTTGCCATCTGTAAATTTGAATGTACCTTCTGTAAATGACATACAGTAATTGAATTTAATGTAATCAAACTTGCAGGTGGCAACTAATATGCCATTATAGAGGTTTTGATAATGATGAACCTTTTGAAGTATAGTTTTATAGTAATCCTGGTTGTCGGAATGGTCTGGGTTTCCAATATGCTATAAAATTATACGGTTATCAGATTAGGTTCTGATATAAAGATAGTTGAATGTTAACATTTCACCTATAGAATAGGTGATGAAGTTTATTGTATTGTTGAATTTTCGCCACAGAATGGCCATTGATCCTGTAACCTGTCTGTATGGAAGCAGTTCCAAATACTTCAGAGAGAGAAAGCTGCTATGAATTTTCAATCCAATTGTAGTTCAGATGTGCATAATCTTTGTATGGTGAAGCCACGTGCAGATTATCGAGAAAGGACAACCATTAGAGAGATCAATAAAGACTAGGTAGACCTCTTACCATGAATTATTGGTTAATCCCACAGTAAAGTTGATATAGTGAAAGTCGCACATGCCAGAAAGCCAAAGGTTTGACTGCTTGGATGCAACCATGTCACTTGATCTATGCCAAACTAACTGAGGACATTAACTGAATAATTGACCACAGGATTTTGTGGGGGAATCAATTTGAGTAGCCATTATTAATGGTTGTTCACGCCTCCCCTTCCCCCGGGCGACCAGAAAAATGTGTGTGAAACATTTTGCGAATTGCAAATATTCTCTCCCTCCCACAACCCGGTTCAATAACTTACCAACCTGCCTTTATCGGTATGAGCAGATGAAACATGGCAACTTGGGCTTGATGGTAGCGGGTAAATGTGTACATGGGACTCTCTAACACTTAAGGTGGGTGAAAAACAGTAGAAAGTAAAACCAAGCAACAAAGAACTCTTGATTAAATTCTTGTAGTTATGAACGGGATATTAGCAGATGAGAATGATTTTGATATTCTTTTCTGTCCACCCTTTTTTGAAGCCATTGACTCCTGTTGATTCACACGACCCCTCAGAACCTTGTCCCCATTTGGTCAATTCATTTGCGAACCTGGGAATGGAACTTTTTTTTTTAAAAAAAGCAGTCTAGGTCATCACCAGCTTGCTTCTGTTCTTGCTTAACATCCATACAGCACTTCCAGTACAGCTTAGGGTCCTTAGCTGTTTTTTTTTCTTTTCTTTCTTCCCCCCCCCCCACCCACCAGCCCTGTGACACTAAAGCTAATTGTAATGATCCAGCTAGCTTAACACAGGCAGATAATATTCCTAGAATGAAACTTTGAACCGAGATCCCATCTGCCTGTTCAGGTGAATGTTAAAAATCTAATGTGGGACATTGCTTTGCACAAAATTGGTTCCAGGGTTAGCCAAAAAAAAAAATTGTTTTCAAAGTGCTTCACAATATTTACTGTTAAGTATAGTTACTATTTACAGGTTACTGCAGCAGCTAATTTTGCACATGTTATTGTTCCATAAACCGATATAAAATTAATGACTAGTTTTATCTGGGAAGTGTTAGCCAGGGCACTGGGAGAAACTCCATTGTCTTTCCAAATAGTACCATGGGATCTTGAATGTCCACTTGAAGAGGCAGATAGGACCTTGGTTTTGCATCTCACCTGAAGGACAACATCTCTGACAATGAATGCAGCGCTCTCCAGTCTTGCACTGGGATGTGATTCTAGACTATGAACTTAGTAATGATGTGGGCTTGAACATGCAATGTTCTGACTCCCAAGGCAAATGCTACCAAGCTGTTACCTGGCTGTATACTGTTTATACTGTGCTTTGCAGGTCAGTTCTTTTCCTTAACAAAACTATCGAGGGTGCCAGTGAGAGCTGTTTTGATGAACACTTTCAAACTGGTTATTCATCCAGGAAATTTAACATTGTCCCAACTACCTCTTTTCTATGTTTTTTGGCAAGGCAATGTGTGCTTTACAACATGCTCATTACTTGTTTAGGCTGATGTGAACCTCTAGGAATCTAGGAAAGGACTTTTATTTTGGCTTAATGATTGCATTATAGTCAGTTTACATAGCCTGAGAGTTTGCAAGCCATTCACAGTAAGTTCCAGTTCACCTTGAAAAGCACACACATACTGAATGCAGTTTAACTTGAACATGGGTGTGTTTTTTTAAGGAAGTCTGAGCTGTTTGTTCCTTAAATGTAAGCAACATTGTTCCTTTATATAGTTCCTGAGGCATAATGGAGTGTGGGCGATTCTGAAGCAGTTAATCTCATTTTGTACACTTGACTCTCGATTTAGTTTTTAAAGTGATTTTAATCCGGTTCAGCTACAGGAAATTGAACAGAAATACCATTTTGGGGGGAAGAATGCAGTTTGCTTCCTGTCTAGCTTATACACAGTCCTGGATGAATTTTAATCAACATCACGTATTGTGAACCTAAGTTTTTGCTGCTTTGCATTTGGAAATCTGCAGAGCAGCGAAAATTAGGTTCAAGTAACGACATGTTGTCAAATGGTCAGTTAATACTCATCAGTTGATCCACAAAGTATTATGAATTTCACTGAGAAAGGGTTCTGGTGTATCTAAAAACAAAACATGTTTGTCAGTTGATGGAACAAATGGATTCTATGACAGTAGGACTTGGCTGTGCCAGCCTGCAGTACTAAGCTGCCTTCAGTTATGATCACAATTGGAGCTGTGCTTGCATTAGGCAGTACACAGTTTTATTAGACAGATGACTGTAGTTGTACATAAAAACTAGCTAGGTTAGCGGATTTAATTTTGTAAACATTAACAATAGCGTTCAGCGTATCACCGAAAACACAATGTTCCAAGTGAGAGACTAATAAATCTGAATTCAGAATTCGTTATTATATTGTTTAGTCTGGGAAAGGAGGTTGAGTCTGAATAAATAGTGGATTTCAATAATTCAAGCAGAACATATCTAATTGTAAACTGTTTAGAAGAGAATTTGAGCATGATTTAAATGAAAAGCTTTGCACTTAGTCTAAAACTTCCTAAATTCTTAGGAAGAAGAATGCAGGGCTTTGTTTGTATACTGAGTAATATTTTCTTTTCTTTCACAAATATTACTGAATTGATCTAAATATAATTTGTTAAAAAATGTTTGGCTATTTTTCCTCCTCCCACCCATCGCCCCCATTCATCATTAGAAATGTTAATGGCATCCTGCAAAGCATAAGCCAAAGGAAAGAAATTGATACATTTAAATGTAGTCAGAGATGGAAACCCGTTTTGTCATGGATCTGGGTTCTTGAATATTTAATATTTCCTGTTTTTCACTGAGATCTTATTTTCATAGAATCGTAGAAATATATTGTACAGATGGAGGCCATTCGGTCCAGTTCACAGGGGAAGCTGCTGATTTAATCTAACTGCCCTGCCTTATCTCCATATCCCTCCAAGCCTCTATCCTTCATATCTATCCATTTCCCTCTTGAAACTCGCACTAGATTCTGCCTCTACCATCTTGCTTGGCTGGACATTACACATCCCATCAATTCTGAGTGAAAAAAATTTGGGCTCTCCTTGCAACTATCTTATAACTATGGCCCCCTAGTCCTGATGCCCCTACTAGTGGAAATGGCTTACTCACTTAGTAGCTTCTCCCTATTTAACCTGTCAAAACCCCTCATAATTTTGTACACTTCTATCAGGTCCCCTCTCAATCTTCTCTGCTCCAATAAAAATAGACCCAACTTCTTCAGTCTCCCCTCATAACTGAAGCCCCTCATCCTTGTAGTATTCTTATAAGTCTCCTGTGCACTCCCTCCAATGCCTTAACATCTTTTCTGAAATGAAGTGCCCAAAATTGAATGCTGCAGTTCAGTTGCAACCGGACCAACGATTTCTACAAAGTTATTATTGCTTTACCTTGATACATAATCCTCCGAGACACCGCTCGAATGAAGGGTGCTATATAAATGCAGGTTGAACGTTATGCCCCTATGTACAAAATGAACAAAACTGTTTGGTTTTGCACTTCCAATTATATTTGCTCCTTTGCTTCTTTCTGTTGAATATACACTCCCTTCTCTTTTTCTACCAAAATGACTCCTGTCGAGTTAGTGGCAGATTAATGCTATACATCCTGATTCCTCACATGATGTCAGTCTTGCAACAGCCATTCTTATTTTCCTTCCCCCCCCACCCTTCAGATTTGAATTTATAATCAATAATAATAATCCTTACTATCATGTCGTCAAAACATCTCAAAGCACTTCAAAACTGACTGAAGTGAGATTGCTGTGTATTTTTTGGCGAATTTGATTCAAAACCTCGTTTTAAGACAGCACATAGCTGTTATATGAAATTTGTTCCCTGAAAAAATAGCTCTTTTGATTTTGTTTTAGACATTCATGGTTAAATAAATGGTTAAATAAATTAATTTTGAAAAGGAACCTAGCATCTTCCAGGCCACAATGATAGAAATAGAATTTTGTTTGGCAACAAAAGATTGCCATCATATCTATCAACTCGTAAATTTGAGTTTCAGCATCAGAGCCATTAAGAAGACATCATTTAATGAAATAAAATAAACTTGCATGGATCACCAGCTTTCCATGTCCTGTGGATAAGGCTGCCTATACTTTTGTTGTAGAATTTATGGGTCCTACATTTTGTTAAAATGAGTCATTAACAATAAAACCGCATAAAAATGCATGCTAGGATTCTTGAATTAAAAATGTTTTCATAGGATTGTCACCCCTGTATAAAGATACTGCAT